GATGGATGGATGGATGGATGGATGGATGGATGGATGGACGGATGGATATGGCTGTACCCTTTAGATCGGGCGGTGGCTAGCGTGGTGGCTTAGAACTGAACGAGAGGTGGCTACATACAGGGGACGCACAGCCCACGCCTTAAGGAGCTTCGCTCCTAAAAACAAACATTCGCGTATTGATGGCACTGCAGGACTACCATGATGATTAATTGCAAAAGCAAACACAGACACATCTACCTCCATGATGTCCGACATTTGTTTCTCATTCGATGTCAAGGGGCAACGGGTCAACCCATTTCACGCGCATTGGCCTCATGTGTCAAATCGGCGTCGTTGAAAATGGTCAAAGCATAGCCTCCGCGATTTTCTCCGGCAACGCAACGTTGTTACAGGTCGCTACCGGAAAATATCGGGGAGGCTAGGGCGAAGGAGACTTTCTGCTGGCAATACACAAGCAGACAGCAACAATTCACCTCCGCGTCACCCACGTTCAGGGAATTAAAGGTCCCTGTATCTTTGCTGTCACACAGTGGCGTGTTGTTCATCAGAAGTTATTCGAAGACATGTTGGTTAAAATAACAATTTTAAAATAGAGCAAATAAATAAAGTGTTACACTATGCAAATACCTCTACAACTACGTTCTTTCGTAGTTTAGGTGATACTATAAATGGTGGGTGCGTTTACCTTTTGCAGAAGGAGAGTCCACTTGCCGAAAACTTTGGCTGAAGTACACCTCATATTCCAAAAATTTTTCATCACTTACAGATAACATCTTCCCGAGAATTTCTACCTCAAATTATTTTTGAATGGCCGGGCTTTTTGAAAAAAAAATTACGATATTATCCACAGAATTTGCAAGTTACATCACGATGCTTAAGAACAGGTGAGCGAGGCATTTTGAAATAAAGTGCTTCCGAATCAATTTTTATTTTGCTCAGATATCCACTGCAGTCTGTAAAATGACTGCTACAGAATACAGAGGGCAATCCGCAATTATTTTATTTTGTCAATAACTTCTGCAGAGGCAAACTATTGCAAGAATAAGAAGGTATTGTAACGTGCTTCACAGCCAGTACAGGTTACGCACAACCAACGCGTATTGCTGTCATAGAGCACGGTCCTAGATACCCGGCATCCCAAGCGCTGGATCGCAGGACGGCAGGTATATTTGGTACTTGGGCGATGTACCGCAGTTCTCGTCGTAAATGAACTCGCAGCAGTCAGCCGGCTGACGGAACGTCGATGTGCGACGCCACAGAGCGCAGCCGTATCCTGGGTCAAAAAAAGCAGAGCATATATGAGTGAATAGGAGCGAAAAAAGGTCTTTGGAGCCCGCCTGCTGACCCAGAACTTTTTCCTCCGACAAAGTGTGATCATCGAGTCTATCCAACGTATCGGGAAGTTCTCGTCTTAGCGCAGTTAAGGAGGCACCTACACAGAATATGGACTATCGTTTTTCTGCAGTGGCAGTTATTCCATGTAGCGTTGCGGGCCATTTCAATCTGCAATGTGAGCGCATTCAGGCCATGCCAAGCGTGTGTGCTTTCACACTGTCTCCCTTCCGAGTGCCCATGCGTTTATAATATTTTTAGAGGGCACTACTTATTTGTGCGCCCGTCTTAGTTTTTTTTTCGTTACCTTTTCTTTTTATCCCATCTTGGTGCCAAAGTTTTCGCCCCAGAAATAGTATAGCATGGAGTACCAACTACTCCGAACCCGCAGCTTGTTAAGTTCTTTCCATACTTCCTTCCTCTCTTTCCGAAGGACCAGACACTTCTTGGTCTGTTTCGTCCCTGTTTCCTCTTTGTATTCGTGTTTTTGTGACATAAAGTAAATAATAATAATAATAATAATAATAATAATAATAATAATAATAATAATAATAATAATAATAATAATAATAATAATAATAATAATAATAATAATAATAATAATAACGAGTGCAGATGATTGCACCTGGCACTCGAACAAGTGGCTGATGGAATATTATGCTTATAGACCACGTCATACCTATACTACCAGGTCAAGCGAGGGCTTGCGCAAATGCTGTTAAGCATTGGCCAACTTCAAAATGCACCGTAATATAGGCCGACATTTTTGAAGCTCCCAAGTTTAATCCGGAGAAGAAAGTAGATTCTGATTGTGCGGCTTTTGGTTGATTTTATTCAGTTATTCAGACAACGTTTCAATTCCTTAGTATTGGGAAGTTTATGTCTAGCTAAAGCTATACGGGATGTGCAAAAAGCGCGAACTTACCGTACTAAATATCACACACATACACACACACATTATATATATATATATATATATATATATATATATATATATATATATATATATATATATATATATATATATATATATATATATATATATATATATATATATATATATATATAGTGAACTGTATGTTTATGCTTTCAAGTTGACAAATACCATATAGTGTTGTCTTCTAGCAGGATAATTGAAAGTACTGCGTAGAAATTGGTGCAATATTTTCTGTAAACAACCATATATCTTTTTTGGCTCGTGTAAATGATGATCTATTGGTGATGGATGAGACTGCTAATATTGATCTATGGGGTGCAATGCCGGATTCACTCAAATATAAAAGACGATAATCTTCTGTCTGAGGCATTGCATGAAATATGACGCTATCTGGCAGTAATATGAAGTTTCTTTAGAACGCAGAACCACTGGTAGGTGGCATCGGTGGGTCATATTCGCAAAACTCTGAATTTTCAGCGAACTTAGGAAACATCTGCTTTTGCGGGCGGAGCTCCTTGGGAGCTAGCCTTATCCCGTGTCTGGATCGTAACACAGGTGCAAAAACATTTGTGAAAATATCTTCGGCAGCTAACAAAAGTTTCAAAGAACAAAATAAAAAGGTTAAACAAAATAGAACCCCACAACACCTTTTACCTTAAGGGTATCGAATGGCCTTTAACCTTAAAAATTATTCCGGCCGGTTCTTGGCCCATTTCCCGTTACGGGTTATAAGAGTGAGGAACATCATCACCATCATCAATGTTGCGGCTGCTCTCAGCGTTGTTTCGTACGTAAACAGCATGTGACTGTGCTGCGAAAGAAATTAATCAGTTTTGTGTATGTTCTTCGTGTTATAGCAGGACTGAGATGGGGCGCTTTGGAGAAAAGTCTTCTGCAGTTATACAAGGCATTGTTTGGGGGCTATATAAGGTACAGCTCACCCGTGCTTTCCAGCATGCGGGCAACGTGCCTTCGTACTTTAGAGAGCCTTCAGCCACGAGCACTGAGAATATGTCTTGGCCTGCCACGGTGCACATCTACCTCTGGCACTATAGAGGAGTCACGCACCTACCCTATACAGGTTTACACGTCCTGCGAGCCTCTTCGAGTGCACCTTCGTCTACTGACCCGACATGCACAGCACCCTTTGTCTTCGCTACAAGTGGACCGACCAGGCTGTACCTATTCGCGATGCCTCGATACGCATAGACACATGATCCCGTCAGGCTTTGCACCTGCCGTAATTCCTGCAGTGCCTCCATGGACATTGACTAAACCGCTGGTGTGCCTTCACATACGTGGAATTTCGTAGAAGTCGCGTGTTTCTTATATTTCCCTCAAGCAACTCACCTTGGCACATTTAGATGACCGATACAGCGACTCTGTGCACATTTACACCGATGGATCCGTGACTTCATCCACCTCAGCTGCAGCCTTCGTGATCCCTCAACTCAGTATTTCCCGACAGTACAAATTAGATCATAGGTCATTTTCGACAGCTGCAGAACTTGTTGCTATACAAGAAGCCATAAAATTTGTGAACGACCAAGCACCGCGTAAATGGACGATTCTGTCTGATTCAAAATCAGCGCTTCAAGCTATCTATTTTTGCTCAAGAAGAGGCCAATTTTACGAGTTAACGTTAGGAATTGTCCAAGCATTTGACCTAACACACAGGAACGGTCACTTGATTACACTCCAATGGATTCCTGGACACTTCGGCCTAGTTGAAAATGAAACAGCCGATAGCGAAGCAAGAGCGGCAATATACAACGCTCCTATGTACGTCAAAGTACCCTACTCGCGAGGTGACGTCAACACATTGTTGAGATCACTCATGGGCGAATGTGCTGCCACTTACTAGTCGCTACCAGATCACCGGAACAAGCGCCTGCGGGAAACAGACCCCAGTATGACTTTTCGTCTTCCAGATAAAATCAGCCGAAGACATGCTAATATGCTGCACCGAATTTGCCTGGGCGTCGCCTTCACTCGCCACTACACCCACCTAATCGGCCGTGCGGACAGCCCGAATTGTGAACGCTGCCAAGTGCGCGAAACGATAGCTCACATATTTTGTGACTGTGCATTATACGTGGCGCAAAGAAAAATGCTAACTGCAACGTTGGCAAGCATTGGACGAACACCATTAAGTGAAAGCCACATATTGTCAGCAACGAACGACCAAACAGTGTCAAAAACTGCTACAAAGGCTGTTCTAGACTTTTTAAAAAGCACTGGACTAGAAACTAGACTGTAGGGTACTATGCTAAGTGGCTACTGTACATACGCACCACCTCTTCTTGTCCCCATCATCACCCTTCATCCTTCTTTCCTTCCCCTTTCCCTTATCCCCTGTGTAGAGTAGCAGGCTAGAGCAAACTAGCTCAGGCCGACCTCTCTGCCTTCTAATAAATTCTCACTCACTCACTCTTACGTAAACATGTGCGATGAACCAACAGGGCTTTCCAATGTGATGCCGCATTGGTGGAGTGTGTAAAGTGAGTGGTGTGCCAACACGCGTCTCGCCTCTGGCAACAACGCCATAAAAGCGGCAAGGCAGCAACACCAACAATATGTAAACAAACCGAACCATCTTTGAACAACGGAAACATTATGCTGTCAAAAGGCTGTGAACCATAACAAACAAAAGAAAACATCACAACACCATCAAAACACTGATCAATAAATTCACATGACAAAACAATACGTTAATAAAAAGAAAATGATACGCTGTTAGCCGAAACAAAATAGAAGGCCGTGATTCATGATCCAATCCACACTGCTTCACCCCAACATCAGCATTCACTTCGTGGATATGCATTAGTTCCTTTGTTCATAGCGTCCCATTGTCAGCGCTGCGCAATCAACACATCGGTCTTTAGAATTACGTATCTATGCATTTTATAAATAAAAAGGTACACAGCCTAACACTTAACTATTGATGTCGCGGCTCGCAAATGCGAATTATTTGCTTTTTGATTGACAATATTCACAGGTATGAGTGCAGCCGGCACATCAAAATAGGTGGCCTTTATGCATGGGGTGAAACTATCACCTGATGGCTCAATCATTGCGCGGACACCAACGGACAGAGAGACCAAAATTTTTGCGGTGAAGTATCCTATAATAAAAAAAAATATTCGTTGAAACATCACAAGAAAAATCATAGGAGGTCAGAAATGTTTTGGAGCCCACCAAGAGGCCTCTATGAAGCATCCTGCTTTTAGTAACCTACACACCCGCATAACAGAATGAAATGATGCCACGATTATAGATCACTGTGGATTATAGGGTGGCATGATTACCTCCATTAGCGTAAACATTCCGGAAGACAAAGCAGGTCTCACAGTCCGTATAAATTACTTGGTACGTTTCTTCAATCAAGTCACCGGTGTCTGCAAAAGAAATTAACGCGCAATAAATTTGTTGTCATGTATAACAAATATACAATTAAGAGTGGGAAAAAAATCTGACTCAAATGTTCTTGCTATGTTTCCACAATAACCTTGTGAGCAAAAGCGCATTACTTTGTTTTCTTGTGTTTAATTACGCGCCTTTCTGTTTTCGCTACAAATGAAGGGATGATGTGTATGTTTGAAGGCTCGTTTTTTTTTACCAGGTACAATATTAATGGGATATAACAGATAATGGTGCCTTGGCATCATTGTCTATTAGTTGTCATTGTTTTTATGTTTTCGTGCCGATTCTGCCCGTGTTTGCGAGCTTAGAATGCGATCACCGTGCACCTAGTAATTCAGCAAACAGAGATGCAGAATGAATGAGGAAACTTTATGATATGCGGCGTTATTTCACTTTGAGTGAAGGTGAGTTACACGTTAAAACTTTATGTGAGAAGACAATCAATAGATATATGAACAAAGTCACGTTTGCTGTAGCTGAAAGAGAACCAAGCACAAAAAGTATACCTCATATGAAATATTTTCTGAACCAGTACAAACACTTTTCTTGAAGGCGTATTGACACCGTGATACTGAATGGTCTATAGTTGAACTCACTTGATCAGGACTTTTTCCCCGGTGTTATTGACTTATACAATTTTATCACGAACAATTGAAAACACCCCAATGAAAATGCATACGACAATTTCAGATGCTATAGCTATTAATGCTTGTGCTCTTTACTCACTTCAGTCACACGTGAAATAAACAGGAAAAGCCTGAATAAAAAAGGCCCAAGCCTTTGCGGATGCTCCTCCTCCGTTATGTTTTGTAAACGATAACAACACTCGTAATGTCATTCAACATGAGCATCCCTTGTGATGATGCTTCTGCATATACTTCAACATGCTTAGCGAAAGTTGTGTTGGAGAACATTCTTGTAAGTCTGCGTGGACATTATCATACGGTGTCAAGTAGCATCAAAATGAAATGGTAGAAAGAAATGGAATCGCACATCACACACCTTTATGGTTCCTTATTTTATTTTTAGGTGCAAAGTATACATTATAGAATAATACAAGTTTATACTTCCGAATCTATCTATTCTGTTACTCGTGAGAAATATCCCGGTATCCACTCGTTCTGTAGAAAAAGAGCTCGCTACATGAACCAACTGCTATTCAGCAATATCATCCGCCTGTTTCCCCTATGAGCATATTGATCGTTTACTTACTGTTATATGGCACAAACTTAAGGGAGTTTCTGGCCGAGTAGCAGGATGACGGAGTCAAGGTAATCTCACCCTCCCTGAAACGAAAATTTGGTATTTTAACACTCTAAGACCCTATAAACACTCTACCTCAGCCGATTTGAAACTTTTATTGAATTATGCACTTTGACTGCTTGGCCAAAAAATAGACGTTGTTGTCAAAACGGTTTGCTGTGGACAAGTAGCCACGGTAAAAGATTAAAATTGTCTGCGGATATTGAAAAAAAAAAAAAGATGTGTCAAGCACTATGGTTCTTAACACTCTTGAGACAAGAGGAATTATGCTCTTGAGGGTTCTGACGAAAATATCTGCACACCATTTATATCAGAAAGGTGGTCCCAGAAGGCACTCAACGTGCAAACAACTTTCTGGCCGTAATACGCTGCGCAGATTACTTGTTTTGTCTTCTACTGACAACTGTAAAACATCATGATGTCATTACTAATATTGTTGCATTTGCAGATTCCACAACTTCCAACTGCGTAGTACGTAGGGGAAAATCGATGATGCCAGTAGCCGTCAGCAGTCGCCAAAGTATTACAAATATAAAATTAACAGCCACGAAGAAGTATTTGTAATAAGGATATTATACTAAGTGTACCTTCAAGTGTACACTTTTCGTTTATAATAAATAAATTAGGCGGCATGCTTTCATGAGAATTCAAAGAAAATGCCAGCTTACAAGGAACCAGTTACCCCTTGTCCGAAGGTGAATGCTGATGGCGTTGTGAAGTTCTGGTAATTTCCGTACCGGCTGTATTTTACACATTTCGCAGTTCCACCGAAATCTGGGTCATAGTTGTAATTCCTGTATATTTGATACCACTCTCCAATGTCTGGATAACACTGCGCACAAATAAAGCAATAAGACAAACCAAGAGTGGATCGAGCCACTCATTTTATTTTAGGGGGGCAGTCGCTTGCAGTAAACATTGGAGAGGGGGGCGTGGTCATTATTTTTTGTTTTTACTACTGCAAATACTCTCATAGCATAAATACTGTGAATATGTGCTCAAAGGGGTCACACTCATTTGTCCTAATTGAGGATAGCAGGTGGGTGGCAAGCACTGAAGAGAATTGAAGGGGGTGCTTACAGGGTTTGGAGGGGGGGGGGGCGATCGCCTCCACCTCCCCCCCTTCTGTATCTGCAACTGTGAGAAGCTCGTCTTCTTTCTTATCATCATTCATACGCATACAGTAAGTACATCAGCACTCATGAAATCTTATCTACCCATTTGTATGTAGGGGAGAGCCCGAGTGACTCTTGCCAAATGGTGCAGATTACCATTTAGCTGAACACCACAAAAAGTGCAAATGTCAAGCTTTGTTTACACTCACAAATATTTTTAAAGAAAAGACATACACTACCACTCGGGAGATATTGGAGCGTCTCTGATATAGCTGTTTGATTCGTAGTGCAGTAGTATTGCTTCTTACCTTTGTTAGCAATGTTACTTTTTATTTCTGAATGCGCTATCATCAGTGTGCCAGGTTGATCAAGTGGTGTATGGCACACACTATGCGTGTTCTTCTGGTCTCTGAACAGGATTCGACTCAAAAGCAGGTCTGCATGTCAGCTGGGCTAATTTTAACTATACCTCAACCAGAATGGTCCACCCATATCAGATAGTGGGAACACTAAAATCTTTTTCAATCAATAAAAGAAGATGTTTTCTCAGGCAAGCCCAACCGGAACCGGATGATAAGGTGCATGTCGTAACGGCTAATGGGGCTTAATCGAAGAACTTTGATGCTTCAATTCACATCAAGCAAAATGCTAGGCCGGATGCAAGGCCGGATGCTAGGCCGGATGTCAAGGTCTAATTAGGTGCAATTCAGAGCCTGTTAGAGCAAGTGCACTAGCCTAGTCTACCATTTATGAATGTTCAATAGCAAGCAGCTTTTGGTCGGTTTCAAGGGGAAAAAAATTCATGCAATAAACGAGCAATTTCACCATCCCAGAACATTCAGGGAGCAAAAGTTGAACTATTGTGCTTGAAAAGGCTCCTGGGTTACCGAGTATGGCCAGCGTGCTGTCATGGTTAATTGCCTCATGAAATGAGACGTCAGGAAAACACGAATTGAAAAAAAAAAGTAGGGCAGCAATTTTTCATTGGAACGCATTACCTGCGGAAGTAGTGAATGCTGCCTCGACGGCTTCATTCACTCAACAGATAGAAAAGATTAATTTCACCATATAAGTGATGTATGCTGAAAATAGTGTCATTTCAGTGCAATTCATCCGGCTACAAATGTTGAAAATATTCTAAGTTGTGCGCAGTTCTGTTGAACAGCGAGAAAATATATTTGACTTTTCTGTACCTAATAGTTATGTATTCTTTCATTTATGCCCTGTACTCCAGTGTCTTACTAGTTATTGCTTGAATGTATTGTTTGTATCCCACTCCTGCATGGGCCCGGGTAGGGCCTGCAGTATCAGTAAATAAAAAAAATGAAGGCAAACTCACTGATGATCGAGTCGACTTACACTGACTCACTCAGGCGGAGATCGAGCCGTGAGTGAGAGTCCCAGTGTGTTCAGGTGAGCGACACTTTGTTAGATTAAGTAGGTCTGATGGAGACACATATTGGTGGGGACGAGTCCGAGGGAATCCGGTAGAGGAAAATTTTGGTGAGCATGAGTCCGAGTGAGACCATACTATTGGGCCACATACATTCATGAGCGAGCTCTGAATTTCTTGCGTATACCTAAAAAGGTGACATACACGCCGACTCCTGATTGAAAGAGCGCACTGCTGCGGAAGCAGAAAGTATACTCACAACGCTTGCCCGTGCGGGCTCTCATACGGTAGCGTCATTTGTGAAGCTGGTACATGTGCTGTGCCTTCGGTAAGATTATCGAAGGCTGGCTTGCGCATGCACTTCCACTGCTTTCGATATTCCGGGTCTCAAACACTGTATGAGTTTGTTTCTTGAATGCGGAAGAAACACAGGTGGTAGAATGTTCTTAACCCCTCCTTCCCCGTGTCTCTCATCATCATAACGTAGATTTAGGATGTTAAAACTCGACAATGGGGATCGATTTTTCAAGTTACATTGCACAGCTTTTTGTAAAGCGATTCTTGCATTTCTCAGTCCAATGAAAATGGAACACACGACTTTTGCAATACGTTACTTCGAGAACTGATGCTCCTCTGCCTCTACGTCAGTGACATTTTGTCACGCAGGTAACTCGGTTAAAAAAAGGAAAGTATGAGGTTTGAAAAAAGCGCTATCGTCCAGTTTAGCTAACATATTAGCTGCCACAAGATAAGAAAATGCTTGAAGCACAGGCCACAAATGAACATGTGTTTGTCATGTTACACACAACCTTGCATGTGATACTTCTTGTGTTTGCAGGGTTTAATTAGCTTTGCGAGTGCTTAAAATGTCACTTTAACATTCGAGCAATCGCTATGGTTTTTCAGATTATGCGAACGTTCATGAATATAAGGGGTGATAGTCGTTCTCTTAGGTGGATCAAGTGATGCAGCATCAGAAAAGTTATTCTGCGTGTGCATCTGTCGCTGCAGTGATTCAGCGACGGAATGCTGTGAATGCATTTCTCGTGACACGTGCTTAGATTAGCAACTCAAGGTGGTTTCTACAGATGAGGACACGATTGTTTAAAAACATGAAGTCCTTACTTATTTGTAAAAGCTGTACACCTTTGTGACAAGAGAAAACCGCAAATGAATCACACGATCTCACCCTGCTAGAATCTTGAAACTGTTGCAGGTCACTTCTCAGTTCGGGATAGAATTTGTCCAGAGAAAAGGACAGCAGGGTTTGACTCAGAAGCAGGAGAGCAGTCGATGGACGCATGTCAACTATGGCTGCAACAGCACGCCTGACATAGTAGACCCTGCGCAAACTAAAAAGTTTTCGCTTTTCCCAAATAAATGTGCGTTTTCAAAGAAAATGAAAGAAAATGTTTTAACCGAGGCCAGTCACACCGGAACTGGTTAATATAAATGATGTCGTGAATTGTACTGGCACGTGCTTGAACAACGTTCATGTTCGAAATGGCATCAAGCAACCCACCAGACCGGATGCACTCATCGAAAATTACATACGCACATAAAATGTAGGCCATTCAATTCCGTGAATATTGATGACCAGGTGAAGCCTCCTTGGTCCACTAGACAGGCGTGACGCAGGAACGAAGGATGAGAGCAAAGAAACTGAAAAGCAGATGGCAGGCAAGTTAGCCACAAAATCTTACAGTTGGCTACTTTATCGTAGAATGGGGGATGAGGAATTGAAAGAGGGGAGATAAAAAGAGAGAAGAGGAAAGAGAAGAAAGTATTTATGCAGGTGCGCTAAACGCGAAAGCTTTAGAAAGTGCGGAGCACTGATTCGGCTGCCCTTCTGAAAAGAACCCAAGGAGCTTCAGTGTTGGTTTGTAAGACACCACACATGACTGTTTTTTCTTTACCCGTTCCCTCTTTCCCCCTCCTCGCCCACACTTCCTTGTCTTACACCCTTGATATACATGATTATGCAGTTCATCGTTCTACCTACAATTCGGCATACATGGCCTACATGCATGCCTTACCCTCTCCTTTCCTCCTTTCCATCATCTTGACCTTCAGTACAGCCCTCCTCACACTCACTTTCTTCTCCCGCTCCGTTATAATACGTGTCTATGCTCTGCATTGTTTTGCATGCGTGACGCAAAACGGTGACATAGGATGACAGTATATGACGACATACATATTGTGACGATGGAACGCGTTTATTTACAAGATGGGTAATGCAGAGGTGTAGCTCAGCGAAGGATCAACAGCGTCGCTCGCGAGCCAGTCGAGTCTCTTCCTCTTCTTCGTCGAATCTTCGCTAGCGCGTTTCACTTTCCGGTTCGCAGACGATGCCCTCTGGGCGAGTCACTCAGATGGTTGATGGTGGCACGGTTTAAGGCGCGCAACGTGTGTCAGTTGTGTTTTGATAGAGCGGCGACCATTGCTTGTGACGCTCGAGATTACGTACGTGACGTCGCTGAGGCGGTCAAGAATGACGAATGGACCGGAATAGTGGGCCAAGAACTTCTGGCACAAACCACGTTTGCGGACTGGTGTCCATAACCACTCAAGATCGCCCTTACTATAAGATACGGAGCGATGGCAGGCGTCGTAACGTTTTTTATAATGCTGTTGGGATGCCAAGGTTCGGAGGCGTGCGATGCGACGGGCTTCTTCTGCGCGGCAGAGCGTCTCGGCTGTCGAGGTTTCCACGTCTAGTGTAAAAGGTAGTATAGTGTCGAGACAAAATCGTGGGGAGCGAGCGTACAGCAGGTAAAATGGAGAGTAACCTGTAGTCTCATGCTTCGCGGTATTGTACGCGTACGTGATGTAAGGTAGCACTTCGTCCCAGTTTTTGTGCTTAGAATCGACATAAATAGACAGCATGTTCGTGAGAGTCTGGTTCGTGCGCTCTACGAGACCATTGGTCTGCGGGTGATATGGTGTGACATGGCGGAAATGGCAGGCATACAGACGCAGGATCTCTTCAACGACGTCGGCAACGAACTGACGTCCGTGGTCGCTAATGACAACGCGTGGAGGACCATGGCGGAGAATTATACAGCGAAGCATAAACTGCGACACGTGCATGGCCGTTGCAGCAGGTATTGCAGCAGTTTCTGCGTAGCGCGTTAGGTGGTCAACACAGACGACGACCCATCGATTGTTACTGCTTGATCGTGGAAATGGACCGAGCAGATCGACACCAACAGTCTCGAAGGGAGAGTTAGGAGGTGGAACAGGATGGAGAAGTCCTGGTGGCGTAGCCGTGGGACGTTTGTGTCGTTGGCATTGTTCGCATCCAGCAACGTATTTTTCCGTGTCGTGTCGCATCTTGGGCCAATAGAACCTTAGCTGGATTCGTTGAAGCGTTCTGGCGAAGCCCATGTGGCCGCAGGTTGCGTCGTCGTGTAAGGACCGAAAGACGTGAGTTCGTAAAGTGCGTGGAACAACTAGAAGCAGACGGGCGCCTTGTCCGGAATAATTCTTCTTGTAAAGGACGCCGTCATGAACCACAAAAGAGCTTGGGTTTGCGTGTTCATTTGCGGAGGCGAACAGAGAATCTAAGGAGCGGTCCTCTTGTTGGGCTGTCCGGAAAGTCGCGAGATCAGGGAACTCAGAGGCAATAGCGCCGATATAATGGTCGAAGTTGTCAGCGTCACACTCAGTCGTCGGTAGAGGAAGGCGCGATAGGCAGTCGGCGTCTGCGTGCCGGTTACCGCTCTTGTAGCGTACTGTGAAGCCGAACTCCTGTAAGCGCAAAGCCCATCGCGCCAGTCGTCCAGATGGGTCTCGGGGGCCTACCAACCAGCATAGAAAATGATGGTCGGTGATTACCGAGAAGCGACGGCCGTAGGTGTATGGGCGAAACTTGTGCACGGCGAAAACGACTGCGAGGCACTCCTGGTCTTTGACTGTGTAATTTCGTTCTGCCTTGCTCAACGAACGACTAGCGTAAGCGACCACGTGTTCAGCATTGTCATGGCGCTGAACGAGCACTGCACCAAGGCCGATTCCACTGGCATCTGTGTGAATTTCCGTTTCAGCAGAAGGATCGAAATGGCGTAGTACCGGTCCTGAAGTCAGTGTGAACCGAAGCTGCTTAAAGGCTGCTTCACAATCCGGCGTCCAGTGGAAAGGGACATCCTTTTGCAGCAAGTCAGTCAGTGGTTGTGCTTTATCAGCGAAATTCGGAACAAATTGACGAAAGTAAGAACACAGGCCCAGGAAGCAACGCAACTCCCTGAGGGACTGCGGCTGCTTGAAGTTGCTGACAGCGGCGACTTTCTGCGGGTCCAGTCTCACGCCATTTTTATCCACAAGGTGTCCCAGAACCAATGTTTCACGTTCTCCAAAGCGCCATTTTTTTGAGTTCAGTGTAAGCACAGCTTCCTCGAGACAGGTTAGAACGAGGTCAAGGCGATGATTATGTTCTTCAAATGTTCGGTCAAAAATCACCACATCGTCCAGGTAACACAGGCAAATTTCCCATTTGAGGCCCTGTAAAACGGTGTCCATATATCTTTCAAATGTGGCGGGGGCATTACACAAGCCGAATGGCATAACATTAAACTGAAACAGACCGTCGGGTGTAACAAAGGCCGTCTTTTCTTTGTCAGCCGGATCCATGGGGATCTGCCAATACCCAGATCGCAAGTCCACCGATGAAAAATAGGACGCTGAATGCAGGCAGTCGATGACATCATCAATGCGAGGAAGCGAGTACACGTACTTCTTAGTTATAGAGTTGAGACGTCGGTAGTCAACGCAGAACCTCCAGGACCCATCTTTTTTCTTGACCAAGATAACAGGCGCGGCCCAGGGACTTGACGATTCTTGAATTACGCCAGAGGTTAGCATCTCGCTGACTTGCTCTGAAATCACTTTGCGCTCTGACACGGAAACTCGATAAGGTTTCTGTGTGAGGGGGTGCGCAGATCCGGTGTCGATCTTGTGACGAGTGCGTGTGCTGGGCGTCTGAGGTCTTTGCGACTTCCGTGCAAAATCAAATACTTTAACGTGCCTGGCTAGCAGTGTAACCAACACTTTGCGCTTATGCGAGGGAATAGACTTGCTAACTAGCTTATAAAATTCGTATTCCGTGCCGGATACATCAGCATAATCCGAATTTACCGCATTGCTGAGAGCTCCTATGCAGATACTGCACTGCCCTTCAAACATGGCAAGGCGCATTCCCTCTGGTAGTACAACAGACTCGGATGAGCAGTTAACTACCCATAATTTAGTTTTTCCCTCGGTGAGAGACACAACGCAGCGCGGCAGAAAGATGTTTTTCTTCATGCAAAGCAAAGGCAATGGCTCAATCACAATATCAGGAGAACTGAAACTCGAGTCGGCATTCGAAGCAGCACCGGGCACGCTGGCAGTAGACCATGCCGGTAGAATAGCGTCTTTAACTACAACGAGGTTGTCGTCTCCGCTACGCTGAGGCTGCTGGGCGAGGGCGGACAACAGAACCTCGCCTGCCCCGCAGTCGACAGTCACACGGCACTTTTGCAAGAAGTCGATTCCAAGGATAACGTCATGCGTGGAATGAGCGAGCACTGCGAATTCTGCCTTGAACGCTTTACCAGCAACACAAACAGACACAGTGCACACACCTATTGGACACAAAGCCGTGCCGCTGACTGCTCAAAAAGTAGAAGATTTATCCCAATAAAACATAACCTTGCGGCCAAGTCTCTCCTTGAAAACTAAACTCATTACAGAAACTGTTGCACCGGTGTCTACCAGAGCCATCGTGGGAACATCGTCAATGGATACATGAACCTTGTTGTGAAGCATGTGAACTAATGGAGCCATACTTGTGTGCAAAGCGGTACGTCCAGCGACCTCGCCTCCATCGGCCGCGCCGGCTAGTTTCCAGGTGGCGGAGAGGAAAGCCGCGGCCGGGGACGGGGAGATGGGGACCGTCGCTGGCGCGTGGTAGGTGGCGTCAAGCTCCTCACAGAGGCAGGCGAGTCACTGCGGATGTTCGGCCGGTGCCCGTGCTTCTGGGCAGTTGAATCCGAAGGCCAGTAGGCGTAATCGGGCTGTTGGCTTCGCCGTGCAAACATCGCTGGTCGGTCAGAAAACGTCGTGCGTGGGCGACGTCGCGATGGGCAAAACCGGGCGATATGTCCGCGAACACCGCACTGGTAGCACACGGGGCGTTCCCGAGGCACATTGAATGCTGCGGTGTGGAGAGGATGCTCAGGGAACTGTTGCCACTCGGACACAAACGGAGGTGGTTGGCTGTCGTAGCTATAACTGCTGCGGGGCGCATAAGACGACTCGACGTAAGTAGCCGTTGGTGGCGGAGCCCTCAGCCGTGGACTGCGGGTGGAGTAACTGCGCTCGTCAAAATTCACAGCATTGATGCTTGGGGATAGTGTATCACACTGCGGGTCTCCAGCTTGCATGGGAACAGAGACATGGCGACGCAGTTCCTCCCGTACAATCTGACGAATGGTGGAGGAAAGGTCGGCAGGTAGAGAATTTTGGCAGACATCGATGGTGGCAACAGTCGTGACGTTGGCCAGACGTCCGAACTTCGATGTGATGCGACGCGTTTTAAGAGCCTCGAAGGTTCGGCAGTGGTTAATCACGTCGGCCACGCATTCCAGGCTCTCCTTGCGAATGAGGAAGTGGTAGACGTCATCGGCAATGCCCTTGAGTATATGGCCCACTTTGTCTTCTTCCGTCATGTGGGCATCCACCGACTTGCACAACTTCAGAATCTCTTCAATGTAGGTTCTGCATGTCTCACCGGTGACTTGAGCCCTCTGCGACAACGTCTGCTCGGCACGTTTCTTCTTCGTTGCTGGGTCTCCAAAGCATTTCTTAATTTCCTCCACAAACTGGTTCCGGGTTGTCAATGTGTCTTCATGGTTCTCAAACCATACCAGCGCCGTGAAATCGAGGAAGAGCCCCACGTGAGACAGCTGGCTAGCCGCATTCCAACCGTTCGATCGGCTCACCCGCTGATAGTGGCTTAGCCATTCGTCCACGTCATCGCCGGGTTTCCCTGTGAAGGTTCGCGGCTCCCTGTAGTGGTAGGGCGACGTCCTTGCGGCTGGTTGCTGGTTGTCTCCATCCGAGCTCATTTCTTGAGGTAATGGTGCCAAGCCCGCTAGTCGACGGCTGCGGCGAAGCTCGTGTAGTGGTTCCGTCGTTAGGGGACGGTGCCTCTCCGGTATCACTTGGTAGTAGCTAGTTTACCCAGCACCTTCCACCACAATTGTGACGATGAAACTCGCTTATTTACAAGATGGGTAATGCAGAGGTGTAGCTCAGCGAAGAATCAACAGCGTCGCTCGCGAGCCAGTCGAGTCTCTTCCTCCTCTTCGTCGAATCTTCGCTAGCACGTTTCAATATGAATACAGTATATGAGATTACGAGAAGGCATTTGATTCAGTAGAGATATCAGCAGTCATGCAGGCACTGACGAATCAGGGCGTCGACGAAACATATATAATATCCTGGAAGAAATTTACAGCGGATCAACTGCCACGATAGTGCTTCATAAAAAGGCGACAGAATACCAATAAAGAAAGATGCAAAAGAAGGGGCTACGATCTTCCCATTGCTATTTACTGCTTGCTTACAGGAGGTTTTCAGAAGCCTAGAATCGGAAGAGTTTAGAATAAGAGTTAAAAGAGAGTTTTTTAGTAACCTGCGGTTCGCCAATGACAATGCATTGCCGAGTAATTCAGGGGATCAATCGCATTTCATGATTACTGAATTAGACATGGAGAGCAGAAAGGTAGGTCTGAATATTATACTATGAAAAAAAAGTAATCTACAACAACCTCGGAAAAGAGCAGTGCTTCGAGACACGTAGCAGGGCACTTGAAGCTGTAAAGTACGTCAACTTAGGACAGGTAGTAACCACCGAGCCGATTCACGAGACTGAATGAAGTAACTAGAAGAATAAGAATGTGTTGGAGCACATTCGGCAAGCATTCTCGAGTCATGATTGGTAGGCGGCCACTATCTCTCAAGAGGAAGGTATATAACAGCTGGATCTTGCCGGTACTTACCTACGGAGCAGAAACCTGGAGTCTTACAAAGAGGGTTCAGCTTTAATTGAGGACGACACAGCGAGTGACGGAAAAGAAAATGATAGGTGCAACCTTAAGAGACAAGAAGGGACAGAATGGATCATGGAACAAACCAGGGTCAAGAATATTACAGTTGAAATCAGGAAGAAGGAACGGAAATTGGCCGGGCATGTAGCGCGTAGGCAGGATAACCGCTGACTGGATTCCCTGAGAAGGCAAGCGGGTTAGGGCGAGACAAAGTGAGGTGGGCAGATGGGATTAGGAAGTTTGCGGGTATAAAGTGGCAGCAGCAAGCACAGGGCCGAGTTGACTGGCGGAACAAGGGAGAGGATATTGTTCTGCAGCGGGCGTAGTCAGGCTGATGATGATGATGAAAGAACCCCAGGTGATCGAAATTTCTGAAGCCCTCCACTACGAAATCTCTCATAATCATATGACGTTTTTTGGGGCATTAAACCCCAGCATTTGTTAACTGTTACCTCCATTCAGCCTCCAGATGATGCACAATCTTGAACAAAGGTACAAACTGATTCATTGCCCTGATCAGTGGTCATTGGTTTCCTTGAAGAGAAGAGCTGATGCGTCTAAGCCAACTTTCGGAGCGGAGGTCCGCACATCTGCGAACCTTATCGTTCAAGTTGAGGAGGACCACCACAGCACCATGCACGCAATCTCTACACCCGATTCCGAGGTCCATTGCGTGTTCTCGCAGTCCGCGAGTACCAGTACCATGCGAACACAGTATTCACTGCATCAGAGGCTCAGAGTGCACCTTTTTTTTTACATTATGTACACGGACTGGCGAGAAATCAGGGACCAGTGCCACTTACTGTTCCGCTGTAATGCGAAATGCCTTAAATACAATCCAGGAGAAGAAGTGGTTGCGTTGCCTAGTGGGCAAGACAGTCGCCGAGCGTGTGGGCACAGGTTGGAATCCAGTGAAGTTTCCAGCAATGCTCATGCGATGCACGTAGAATCATGCCAGTTGTTTACTCTATCGTTTGCTCTATAGACTTTTAGATGCGTCTTCACTGCACAGACCAATGCAACAAATAGCAACGAACATTATCTATGTACACAAGGGACAGTGCAAGGAAGCGGGATGATGTTGCACGCATGCATTGCCCAGAAATTGTTTCATGCAGAAGGGTAAAGGCTCTCATAGTGTCGCTGTCACATGTCGAACTTGTACAAGGGCTGTATTAGCGTCTTGAATTGGGCATGGTTGGTGCGTACTGACTTTGGTTGGTACCTACTGACAACACAAAGTGATGACAACACAGCGCCGTGTTTTTGTCTTCTCGTCTCCGTCCTGTTTCAGCGCCATTTCTTCTTTCAAAGTCTGTACAGGGAACACTACATAGACGCGGCAGAAGGGTAAAGGCTCTCATGGCGTTCCTGTCACATGTCGAACTTGTACAAGGGCTGTATTAGCGTCTTGAATTGGGCATGGTTGGTGCGTACTGACTTTGGTTGGTACCTACTGACAACACAAAGTGATGACAACACAGCGCCGTGTTTGTGTCTTTTCGTCTCGGTCCTGTTTCAGCACTGTTTCTTCTTTCGAAGTCTGTACAGGGAACACTACATAGACGCAAAAGCCGAGAAGGAGAAACGTGACACGACTAATAGTCGCAAAATAGGCGCTTGTGAACAACAACATAATCAGGCAGGAGGAACATTCGCGTGCTATTCAGATTAATTACCATCCATAGTGTCCTGTTGCCCAAGGAAACACGAATGTATCTCCCTCGACGGCGCCGAACTCTTTGATTTACAAATGTTGAGGGAAGGGATAGCGGGCAACCCGTTTATAGGCACAAGCGAAATTCCCCATTGTCAAATTATCATCGTGATGTTTGTCGAAGTACGGCTGCGAAGCGCGTTGCACAGATTACGGCCGACTGGTAGAGATGCACCGTTAAAACTGCTGAGCCAGGCATTTACTGGAACAATCGACTGAGCCCTGCACATTAACGCGATACTTTTAAAGGGCTCATTTCACAAAAATTCCGGATGTTGGCGTGGTTGGTTGCGAACTAAAGACCATCATCTTTACGTGAAGTAAAATAAAAAAAAATATGCGTCTAAAATAAATAAAAAATCAAGTTTCAGTGGCAAGTGGTTGTTCTACCAAAGATTCACTGGTCTGCTTGGAAACACAGTTAAAGTAACTTCCTCTGGTTGGAAACACATTGAAAGTAACTCGCAAGCTTTACAAACGCGCCCTTTCTGTACACGTGCTTCACAGTGTAACTTGTAATATTGCGTGGGAACGATGTAACAGTAATAATGCGTGGTACAAGCGTATACATTGAAATCTAGCGCCAGAACATGTGATTATCATGACCTCACTTGCTTAAAGCGGCCGGGCCACACTCTACAAAAAGGAACGCACGTTATACTGCCGGGTTTTCCCTTAAGGCAACGTAGTGGGGTGCATAACAAACTCGAAAAGATTTCTCTCGTACTGCTGCCCGTGGTTTAAAGCATGCTAACCATTGCACAAAATGCTGTGAAAGCTTCGCTGACATAAGCCATTTTGAACTCGGTACGCACTAGGGACAGGATATCACTATCTCGTGAAGGCGTAGCTTCAGATTACTTCAGTATATCTTTGATCAGATGTTCTGCGAAGGAACACATTATAGCTTGTGTAAACCACTTCCCACAGCTACTGTGTAATCAGGTAGATATGCTTCATCAGATCGATATCTTCTTTATTGACGGACTATCCAGAGAGTCGTAACGTATTGTGTTGTGTTTGAAAACCAGTTCAGACCATCCTTGAACCCGGCCGTCATCTTAAAGCCCGGTGCTAGACGCCCGGCATTCCGAGCCCTGGGTCGCAAGACGGCAGGTATATTTGGTACTTGGGTGACGTGCCGCAATTCTCGTCGTAAATGAACTCGCAGCAGTCACCTGGCTGATGGAACGTCGATATGCGGCGCCACAAGGTGCATCCGTATCCTGCACCGAGAAAGCAGGGCATACGAGTGAATAAGAGAAAAATGAACGTTGCTTCACTTCATTCAATAAAAGCCTTAAATAGCGCGCTGGGGTGGCGTTCATAGTGAGGACGCGAGTGATGTTCTCCATAGAGGGGGATCGGAGCTCACCGAAGTGAATTTCTTTGCCAATAGTTCACGTGTGATGGCGGCTTAAGAGTACGTGAAAATGTAGCCGTGATTCGTGGGTTAAAGTTAAGCACCAAGCGTGGTTTAGATCGCACACGTCATGGTGGTTAAGACAGTGGTTGAGTGTCTGAGACACTCGGCTGCTGATCCGCAGATCGCGCCATCGAATGCTGGCGGACGCAACAGCCACATTTTCGATGGAGGCGAAAATGCGACAAGTGTGCTTAGATTTAGGTGCACGTCAAGAAACGCCATAAGGTCTGAATTTCCGGAGCCCTCCTCTTCGGCGTCTGTCATAATCATATCGTAGTCTTGGGACGTTAAAACGCAAAAGTAATAATAATAATAATAATAATAATAATAATAATAATAATAATATAATAATAATAATAATAATAATAATAATAATAATAATAATATAATAATAATAATAATTGTTGTTGTTTTGTTGTTGTTGTTGTTGTTGTCTATATGACACAAGGAAGGAAATAAGAAGGAAAAGAACGGCAGGGAGGTTAACAAGCCTGTAGGCAGCCGGGTTGCTACCCTGCGCATGGGAGGGGGATGGGAGAGACGAAAGATAGAGAGGAAGAGGGAAGAGAAATAAACACAGCACATTGCAGCACACACGCGCACAGTCAGTCATAGTCCAGTCTTGTCTTTCGTGGCGTGTGCCATTTCCGTTACAGCCGCTTGTTCAAGTTCGTGTCGCGTAGGAATTTCAACAGTGCTTTTGTCACATTCTGTTGCAATGTTTTCTCTCTAGATCACACAAGTGTGCGCGAAAAATGTCACGGGGAGGTGATGACAAGTCGAGGGCTTATGTTGTCCTCGCGCTCCTCTGTCCTTGTTTGTGCGCGTTCGAGCCATTTGCTATGAAAAACCAAGTTGCCCCACGATCGGTGCTATTGTGGCACAAATTTATTCACCTCATATCAGTATACAACCGTGCAGTGTTAATGCAGTTTCTGCTACTTAAAGGGCCGCTAAACAACCCCGAGGTCCAAAAATTGCTGTAAAGAGAAATATGTGCACTTTGACTTCCTGAACATGCTGCCGCAAGAATTTTGCGAATGCGTGCTATATTAAAGAAGTTACAGGGGCTAGAACATATGTTTCAGCTGGTTTCAAATTTTCGCGCGGCTTCGCCACTATTCTTCTTTGCAGCGAGGGGAACGCATAGCCCGTCGTCGTCACTGGTTTAGACCAATCAACGAGCTGCGTCGAGTCACTGATCGGCGACTGCGTCACAGCACGTGAAAGGATGATTGGTCAGGCATAGAAAAGGAGCATGGGAATCGTTTTCCGAAATGGAGGCTCTGGGCGGCGCTGTAATTTTCGGCAAACGTGATCATCGAGGTATACTCTACTAATTGCCGAGCTTTTCCGGTGGGTGTACAAAAAAAAGTCGGAGCCTGTTGACTGGCACTTTAACTATGATCCGAAGCCCGTCTTGCCGTCTTCAGGGCTTTTAAGACATCAACTATGCATTTCTTTCTCTGACGAATAAACGATTCCCACCATAAAGTCATCCTTCTAAATTATTTATCCGGAACTTCGATTAGTAAACGCTTACGCTTGGTTTATTCTTTCTTTAGTTTTTGAAGGTATGTTTTCTGTGTGGCGTCTGCACAATCACCCTATCGATCGACCATGAATCGCTCAATGTCTCCTAGTTTAATCAGAGGGGCACATAATTTACCCTAGAATAAAAAGAAAATGTTGAAAGTAGGCACCGATAATTATAACATATCATATATATCATGGCGCCTGGCGTCTATAAAAATAACATAATTAATTTGGATAACCATTACCTGCCGTGAGAGAATCGAGCGTCACCACAACTATCAACCACTTTGCTTTAATGCTTGCCGAACTTACCATCATTAACATAAAGGTGACGAAAGACGAAGCAGGTGTCGCAGTCCGTGTAAATTACTTGATACTTTTCCTCAATCACATCACCCGTGTCTGCAAAACAAGTTAAAATGCAGCGTTTGTTAGCGTGCACGACACGTGTGGTACCTCAAGCACTAAATTCATCTTATTGTGATATTGTCAGCTCGTTACATTCGCAGGGCCAACCATTCTAGAAGCACACACCTTGTTCATTCGTTTCGTAAGGAATTCATGTTCTTGTGGTTCTTGGGGTCCATATTCATGTGATTAGAGGGGGGCCGATTATCGAATTCAAGCACACAGACGCAGAACTAATAACAATTTTCAATTTTTCGCTGCGCTCTGTATAGTTGAATGATCGTGTGTGGCACGCAGGCGCGTACCCAGGGGTTCGTGTTACCTTCCCAAAATTTTGGATGGAGATGTGTCTTTTACCGAGGACATTGATAAAGAAGATGTTTTTTCAACAAGTACCCCCCCCCCTCCCTCCATGCCCTTTCTCCCGAAAAGAAATTCCTGTCTATGGGCCTGCTTCCATGGTGGAAATATTTACGGAAGCATCGCAGATAGAAATGTCAAAAAAAAAAAAAACAGCACCCAACATAGTCGGAAAGCATCCAAACACGAAAAGTGCATCTGATAAGATGTAGTCCCTGAAGCGAGAAGACTCTGTATTTCCGGCATTTCGAACAAGTATAGCGCACGGGCCGCATAAGACCCGCGAACCGTTCTCTAATGGCCCGTGGCTGCTTTATAACTTTCCTAATTTTTTGTTAAAATAATGAGCTGAACAGCCGCGACTCGAGCAAACATACACAATTGATCACTTACAGATTGAAAAAAAAATCGTGGAAGAAATAGTTAACTTCACCACCGACTGTCTAGTTTCAGTCATTTGAGAAATCAGAATCGATGCTATTTTCGAATACGCAAAACGCCCTTCTTGAACGGTGCATAAATAAGATATGCGAGTGGTATTTTTTCTATTGCCAATCGTTAGCTGACGTTGCCATTTTCTGGGTATTTCTTTCTATAATTTTATTTTCTCCTTTTAGAGACACAAGAGTCGCCAACTTGTCCGCATGGCTGTTTTGATACAATTCTACATATTTGTATGTTTACCGGTGACGACTTTGACGGAAACGACAACGGCGCTGGCGGTACGGCTCAACGCATGAACATGCGACTAAGAGTTGGGCTCTAAAATGTTTATTTCAAAATCGCACTTCATGTATTCATTATGAGAAAATTTTCAAAGCTATAGCGCAATACGAAAAAGAAGAGTGATTACATAAACCAGTCGCTATTCAGCAATACCCATGGGTCGGCAGAAATTGCGAAGCTCACTCAAACTCACTCATGAAATGCAGTTTGCACTTTCGGCTCACTCATGCTTAGACCCGCTAAATATTTCTCACCCGGACTCACTCGGACTTGGACTCACGACTCGATCTGAGTTTGAGCCTGCCCGAGTGAGTTGAGTCATGAATGAGTTCGCCGACCTATATGGCAATGCTTTTCGTATATTTCCTCTAATCGTATATTGATGAGTCACTCACTGTTGTACGGCACAAATCCGACGGAGTTTCTGGCCGAGTAGCAGTCTGCCGGAGTCAAAGTCATTTCACCCTTTCTGAAAAAACGAATAGGTGCTTAAGAAGAACTTTCTTGCTGGGCGAATTTGGTGCATGCATGTCGTATCTAACGTTGCGCATACAATCGGACAAACGCAGGAAGTAAGGAAGCGTAAACGAAAAGAGCGCAAACCATCAACTGGCTTTATTCCTTTGGTCGCTGTAAATATATACGCACATTTAACACACGCCCCAAAAAATCTTAAATAAACGTGAAGTCTGAAATGTTCGTGAAGTGTGCCTCAGGAGCAGTGTACCAAATCCGTCACTCATGCGGATGTTCGTACGTGGGCCACACAAGGCGCTGCATAAATGATCGCCTGGGGAAGCATGCGGCGCAAGTTCGACAAAAAAAAAAAAAAGAATGGGCTAACTTACCCGCACATCGTAGCACATGTATTGGTTCTGAGCCAGGTTTCAAAATGTTAGAATTCTATAGGCACGAGCGAGGAGAGAGTTGGGCGTGAGCTGTTAGAAGCTTTTTATATTAAGCAATTGGGAGACGAATGTGTAAGCGACACATCTCTGCATAGCACAGAAAGCAGTTTTCTGCGCAGCTTTCTTCAATGATGTGAGGCATTCTTGCCGTGTGTTTCCTCCGTCTTTCCTTCAACCTTCTTTCAATTTTTTTTAGATGTGTGTCGAATGTGCATATATTTACAGCGATCAAATGAATAAAGCCAGTTGGTAGTCTGCGCCCTTTCCGTTTACGCTTGTTTACTTCCCGTGTTCGTCCGATTGTGTGCGCAACACTAGATACCACAGAATAGGTGTTGTTGTAACAATGCGAGGCACCAAGACACCCCACATCACTTGGTTTGCAGCTACTGCACAACTGGGCCCTTTGGTTGCTTGGCCAGGAATTCTGGTGTTGTGGGGGGGGGGGGGGGGGGCTTACTGCGGACGGCAGCGGCAATATGCAAATAACTTAAGGATAAAGCAATATACTAATAACCTAAAATGAGCGAAGATAATAACCTAAAATAAGAAAAAGTAAAGAAGACAACCCTAACCCTTCCGCCAACTTGAGGGTTTCCGCAGAACTCATTCGCACAACCAGTGTCCATGTGTTTTGAGTAGTCGATGAATACGCCCTCGCGCTGCGTATTGCTAGCTCCTTGGTTAGCTGATTTCGTAGAACGACCAACCGAAATGGCGTTTCGGTACAAACTCCGGACCAGGAGGAGTTGTACGGCAACTAAAAGGCTTTTCTTTCCGACAAATCCAACGGGTGGTTGTCTTCTTTCCCTTTCTTAACCCCCCCCTCCCCCACCTTGTAGGTTTCCACATAACTTCTTTGCATAACCTGAAACAAATCAGGCGAACAAAAAAAAATTCAAATATGGTAGTTCTTGATACCCTTGGGACAAGATGAATTGAGTTTATAGAGGTTGAAAGGAGAAAAAAGTTAGTGTCGATATCTCCGCGAGAAAAATGACCTCTGGAAATGTCTGATGCGAACAACCTTTAATAATAATAATAATAATAATAGTAATAATAATAATAATAATAATAATAATAATAATAATAATAATAATAATAATAATATAATAATAATAATAATAATAATAATAATAATAATAATAATAATAACAATAATAATAATAATAATAATAATAATAATAATAATAATAATAATAATAATAATTTATTCTTATAACTCTAAAAAACCTCTGAGTGCGTCGTACGTACTGGTAAAGTGATGATGTCATCAGGCGTGAATTTTCATCTAAATATATAAAAATAAGTATAACAAACACGGTGAACGTGATTATGAAAGAAGTCTGCCTGTACATTCATGGAAAATATGATAGGGAACGCTAAAAAAATTTTTTACATGTCCTAGCGGCTAAAAAAAGCCGGTAAACGCAAAGGTATTCATAAAATTAAATTATCAAGCAGAAAGTGGTCCTTTACAGCTCTATACATGGCATTCGTACCGATGCCTTACGAGTAATACATGATAAAACACGAATTAGGCGTTGTTTTTTTTATTGCGCACCTAAGTAACTTACACTCAACTCTACGCATTTCCTTTATATATGAAATAAGTTCCCCTATGCCGTTTGAGGAGAAATACTAGCAGGAATGGCATCTCTTACACAATCCCGGTGACGCCTTGCCCGTAGGAGAACGCAGATGGCGTTGTGAAGTTCTGGTACGTTCCGTATCGGCTGTATTTCACGCACTTTGCGGTTCCACCGAAATCTGGGTCGTAGTTGTAATTCCTGTATATCATATACCACTCTCCGATGTCTGGATAACACTGCGCGTGAAACAAACACAATGATGAACACATTATTGGTCAGATCTACTGCAGAAGTGTATACACCTTTAATAGAAGGCAAGGAGAAAAAATAAAAAAAAAATCTAACTGACGATACCAATTAAGCTATAGTATATGCCATTAGCAGTGTTCTTAGTTGAATTTTTATTCTCTCTTTGACACCATTTTATGTTGGTTCTCATTCATATATCGTCTAACGAGGAAAAACGAGCCCTTAAATTTCCACTTTCCTTCATTCGTAGAGAGGGCTTCGTTCTGGCAGACTTGATGCCTTGAGGCGCTATGCCAGGAATTATTGGTGAGCGGCTGCCAATAACATCTCGTGCTGCGGGACGCTAACAGGCAGAAAAAGAGTGCTCCTCCACTCACCGTCATGGCTTCTAGTGGTGCTGACGGGCACTCCCAGGTTTAAATGCACCCCATAAAGTGGAAGGGGGAAATGACTGCCGCCGTAGCGGAGTTTTTTAGAATATAGGACGTGTTATTCGAAGGTCGCAAGTTCGATCCTTGCCGATGGCAAGCTATTTTTCTCGACTTTCTGTCCATTTACATTACTACTATAAGATCTTCTACACTCTTCTTGGCAACACTGTCTCTTATATCTCATTATTACCGTTTGAAGATGTGCGCTTTCGATATAGCATACGGTGACATCCTTGTGATTCGGCAATTGATTGTTTTTGTTCGTTCTACTAAACACGTGCTAGACACGTGTTTTTGTTCAACTAAGTACTTGCTGCAGCTAAAGTGGGACTAAATAAACACAGAAATAAGTATATGGTACTAAGATAACAGGTAAATAAATGCAATTGGCCCCCCAACGAGGACGTGTTATGTATTAAGTTAGCCATGCAAAACTACGGGGAGGAGGGGGGTGAATATGAACGATTAGAACCTGATAATTGATTGCGGTGTTCAAAGGCAGGGGGAAACGCTCCATTTCATCTTATCAGTGCGTGCATAACGCCAAAATCCTTCCCACAGTTTTGTTATCACCCCGTTACCCTGTAATTCACA